AAAAAATTCGTTTAACATAATAAATTTTATAAATACATTTGAGGTAAATTTGATAAATAACGTTTGAAGCACATTTCATAATTAACGTTTGAAGCACATTTGAGAATCAACAATTTTCTCAAATGGAGAATAAACTCCCCTTTTTATTGAGAATGCTATGATTTTCAAATCGATATCAAATCGTTTTCAAACCTTTGATATTTGAGAATACTTTGATATCAAATCATTCTCAAATGTAAATCAAACCTAATTGTTTGCTGGGTAGTTCCTTCAAACGATTTAGTTCAGTGTGCATACAACATGAAAATTTTGTACAAAATTCCTTAGGCGCCGAACGCCGCCGCCGCCGCCGCCGCGCCGATATTTTCGTAACTCGGCGGCGGCGCGTGAGAAATGGCAAAAAACGGCGGCGGCGGGGCCCGGCGGCGTATACCTCTAGTACATACATACAAGTAAAATATAAATAAATTTAAGTAACACATACATATAAAAAGCTAAGTGGAAAGCATTGCAATCGCATCATCTGCGTCTTTGCTAATCATCTTTACGCTACCACGACAAAATCACATATGAGCCGCTCGCCGTCTGTAGCAAACGACAGCGAGCATGTTGGCGCATATGTGCGCGCAGATGTTCGTCGTGTGTAGCCAGTTTAAGCAAGGTAAGACGCTTGTTTTTAATGATGTGAACTGTCGTATTTTCGATAGAAATGCAAAATCTTGTCGACGATTTGTATCGACTGAGCTGTACAACAGAACGAAGTGCTCCGACATTGACAGCGACAGTAAGTGGCGATTTGTGGCATCGACAAATGGGGCATGCCTGTGAGACAAATTTAAATCGCATAAAATCGTCAGTACAAGGTTTCGTTTTGCCGAATGGAGTTTTAGATCCATGTACTATATGCGCACAAGGCAAACAAACTCGTGCATCGTTTAAAGAAATAGGTAGTCGTGCAACGCAAATTTTGCAAATAATACACACAGATGTGTGTGGACCTATGTCAACGAAATCACTCGGTGGCTCTCGATACCTACTAACGTTCCTTGATAATTTCAGCCGCAAGGTGTTTGTCTACCCTATAAAGAGCAAGCAGGAGGTTTTTGATACATTTTTAATCTTTAACCAATTGATTGAAAATCAACAAAACTCTACTATTAAAATACTGCTATCCGACAATGGCAAAGAATTTTGCAACGACAAATTGAAAACATTTATGAAAAAGGACGGAATTGTACATAAGTTTACAGCAGCATGTACACCTTAACAAAATGGCGTTGCTGAGCGCATGAATCGGAAGATCATAAAAAAAGTACGCTGCATGCTGTATGATGCAAACTTGCATACACAATTTTAGGCAGAGGCAGCTGCCACAACAGCTTTTTTAATAAATAGAACTCTATGCAGGGACATGAAAAATACTACACCAGAGGAAATTTGGACCACACTGAAACCGGATTTAACTTCTCTTCCAGTTTTTGGATGTATGGCCATGGTACATATACCAAAAGAGAAAAGACGCAAGCTAGATTCGAAATCATACGAATGCATTTTTCTGGGTTACTGTGAAACAGCAAAATCGTATAAACTGTATAACAGAAAAACAAAGAAAACATTGATAAGTCGTGATGTATTATTCTTTGAAACTAAGGCGCCATGTGCAGAAACATGAAATGCAAACGCGCAAGGAATTGAATCTTTCGATGATAACGCCGACTCCAGTGATGACGATGAATCTCTTGGATTAATTGAGGGTTTATCAAATTTTAAAATAAGCGAAAAATGAAATTCATCACAGGTTCAAATTGCGAATGAGTATACTTCGCATCAACAAATTTCGAATGCTTCAAACGTAGGCAATAACTTTTCTGCTGATCAATCTGATTTTTTCGGATTCAGTGAGGGTGATGATAATGTCAGTGAGGAGGAGAATCCTCAAGATCATTCATCATGCGAGATGTCAGTCATTCAAATCTCTGACGATGAAAGTAACATCCAAGCAATGGATGGAGCAACGTGCCCCGGGCTGATAGCAGCAGTAAGTAATACAAATGAACCATTAACCGTACGAGAGGCACTGAGCGGCGCTGATAGCAAAGAATGGAATGATGCTATGCTAAGTGAGTATAACGCGTTAATGCAAAACGGCAGTTGGGAGCTAGCAGATCTGCCACCTGGAAGAAAGGCCAAATGGGTGTTTAAGGTAAAAAGGAACTCCGATGACGTAATTAACCGATACAAGGCACGCCTTGTAGTAAAAGGCTTCTCGCAAGTCAGAGGCATCGACTACGATGAAACGTACTCCCCAGTTGCACGGTACTCATCAATCCGCTTTCTTTTGGCCACCGCCGTTAAATTCGACTTTACTGTTCATCAGATGGATGCAGTATCAGCCTTCTTACAGTGCTTTTATGATAAGACCAATAAGGTATGCCGACTTCGTAAGTCTCTATATGGACTGAAGCAGTCCAGTCGTATGTGGAACATAAAGCTAAATTCTGTTTTGATACAAAAACTTGGTTTTAAAATATCGGACTTTGACCAATGTGTTTATTTCAACAACTCAGGGCAGAACATTATCATATTGGCTGTATATGTTGATGACATCTTAATTTTCGGAAACAACAAGGCAATTATTAGAAAACTTAAAACGGACTTATCTACACAATTTAAAATGAAGGACATGGGGCCTGCGACATCCATACTTGGCATGAATGTTTAGCAAAACAACGATGGATCGGATTCTATAGATAAAAACAGTACCTGCTAGATGTTCAAGAACGATGTAACATGCGTGAATGTACTCCGGCTAGTTCGCCTATGGACCTAAATCAGCGCTTGTCAAAAGAAATGTGCCCCAAGTCAGTTGCTGAACGAGAAGAAATGTCTTTGATCCCGTATCAACAAGCTATCGGTTTCATCATGTATGATGCAAAAATTAGTCGCCCCGACATTAGCTTTGCAGTAAGTGCGCTCTGTCGTTATAACACAAATTATGGCAGAGCACATTGGACAGCGGTGAAGAGAGTGCTTCGGTACCTAAAAGGCACTATAGACCTGAAATTAACATATCGAAAAGATTCCAACGATCAAATGGTGGGATATTGTGACGCTGATTGGGCCGGTAACCAGGACGAACGTCGTTCTAACACCGGATACGTATTTGTCTTGCAAGGAGGTGCCATTTCGTGGGCCACACGTAAGCAACCTACAATAGCGTTATCATCCACAGAAGCTGAGTTTATGTCAATGGTAGCTGCAATACAAGAAGCGCTTTGGTTAAAACGATTTGAAGGTGAACTATTTGCTGATGCGACACCTTCAATACAACTCAACTGTGACAATCAAGGAGCGATCAAACTAGCTACAAACAACAATTATCATGCTCGTACTAAGCACATCGATGTCAAGAACTACTTCATCCGTGAAAAGCTTGCTGAGGACATAATTAAACTTAGTTTCCTAAGCACAAGTGAAATGATTGCTAATATAATTACTAAACCAGTAAATTTTTCAAAATTATATCAATTTATTGAACAATATGGTTTCCTTTTTAAATTCAATATCGAATTATTGAATAGTTACTAAATAATTAAATGAAATACTTATGAATTGAATCTCTTGTGAGGGTGTTATAATATAACATTGTAATCGATGAATTATGGGCTTTTTTTGCTTACGCGTAAAAGCACATTTAGCGCATTTAGCTACAAAATTCGAACCCTAAATGCTACTCCATTTTTGCATTAAGAATCTAAATGTTAAAAGCAACCCTGTGATCTTCCAAAATTTCCACAATCGAACATGGTTTAGGGCCGGTTGTTCAATGTCTCATTAGCACAAATTGGAGGTAGAAGCATCGGTTAAGAACAACGACTGCTTTATCGATCACATGTTACATGCATGATGTCGAAATCGTCGATAGTGTAGTGGTAGTGATAACCAGACATTGAACAACCGGCCCTTAATGCGAAAAACTGGTAACATTGCTTTTTCGCGTATACAGTGGCTAGCTGCGTTTCAGTGATCGCCGATCGAGATTTCATTTATTATTTTAGATTATTTGGATAAAGAAAAGTTACCCAAATTCAACATCGATGTGATGATGATAGAAATCTGAATCAATTTTTGGTCAACTCTGTTTGTTTTGATTCCGAATTAAGTGAGGAAATTTTAGTTGACAGCACCGACAAATGAATACATACACAAAGATATGTTCGGTTATGGTTAAAACAATTCAAGTTTTTGTATTGAATTTTGGGTTTAAAATTTATTTTTTCCTTTTCAGTAGGGTTTTTTGCACATTATCTTTAATTGTGTTAACCAGTTCAGTAAAGCGTTGTAATTGCTTTAACAAGTATTGTAATGTTTTTACTGTACTGTACTGCGTGAGAATTGATCGTAATAGATACAGATCTGAATAAGCGACTTGAACACGGCTGTTTGTCAAAAGCATACGATTTCGAACTCGCGTAAATGTACATTTGCTAAATGCGAAAGAAGTATTTTATTGAAGAACAATATAAAGAATGTACAAAACATACAGGGTTGCCAAATATGAATTGCAGCTCTCACACTTAATGCAGTGTTTTTGCTGCATTTAAAATGCAACATTTAGCACTTTCAAACATATGTTTTCGAAGAGCGTTCATGCTATCGCATTTAGCAAAATATTTTTATATTCTCCTTCACTTTACAATTTACTCGATTAGTTATAACTTTCTTTATGACTTTAATATTAACCAATTAATCACAATTCATTGAATAAAAACACCTTCAAAATCATGCGTCTGACTTTGGTTGCATATGCAAATTAAATGGCGGAGTTCAGCTGTCAAACTCCAAAATATGCAAAAGAATTAGAGACAAAAGAAGGTAAAATATAACCCAGTGAGCATTAAAAATATAAATCTTTCCATGGCAAATATTTATTTACTGTCCCTGTGGTTTCTTTCGGGTGTTGGGTATGGTTCTATTTCTAAGTATAACGGTGCATTTCATTTTGTACGCGAAATTTATACGCACTATTTAATTTCGATTGCTACAAACATATTTTTGTTATTTTAAATGGCTGGTAAGTAATTATCGTATATGAAAATTGTTCATAAATGCAATCCTTCTGTTTCTAGAAAAACGTCCTTCCACAAGCGCTAACGCAAGGAATTTTCTTAAAGGCGGAGAATGGAATTTTGCTTGTTTGGTGATGGAATTGAGGACCCATGAGAAGGGGACTCAATTCGCGGAGGAGCACGGTTTGATCCCAACTAACAGTCTATGCCCCTTTCATAAGGTGCCCATGAGTAGGCGAAACGACGGCAAGTTTGGGTTTTTTCTATGCCCCGTGGGGTTTGTGTCAAAAGGACCCGTTCATCGGTAGCTAAAGGGACGTGGTTCGAGGACGTCCGGATAAGCGTGCCCCACGTGTACTACCTTATGTACTGCTTCGTTGAAAACTTAAGCCGCGAAATGGTTCTACGCCAAGACTACTTAAAAGAAGAAAAAACTTTCATCTGCCGTGGTAATATACCAGTTAGACCACCACGATTGAGAGAATACAAAGGTTGCGCCGATCTCAGACCGCTATTCCTCTCTTAACGAATTTGACAGAATCGTTGTTTGCATGACGTTACACTTGTGCAACTTGTTTACGTTTTCCTTGCAACATTATTTCTTCTTCTTCTATTCTTGCTCACGTTTTGGCATTTCTCTCTCGCAATTGCACCAGTGTGACGTCACACAAAAGTTATTCTCAAAAATCCTCTCTGATCGGCGCAATCTTGTATTCTATCATTCTTGTTAGACCACCAACAAGCCAGCGAAAAATTGGTGGTCCGGGGAAGATAGTCCAGATTGGCGAGAGTAAGTTTGGAAAGCGGAAGTTCAATAAAGGTAATTTTTGTTCCATTATAGTGTTATAATTTTAATTTTCCCTTTCCTATTTTCAGGCACACGAGTGGAGGTTCACTGGGTCCTGGGCATGATCCAAGATGGCAGTGAGGATCTACGCTTGGAAGTATGTCCTGATAACTGCAGATCAGCGGATATTCTTATTCCGCTGATCAGAAGCATGTGGCCGAGGGGTCGATTATAAGGACGGATTTCTGGCGCGCATATGATAATGGTTTCACCCATCAGAAAGTCAATTATAGCGACGCCATTAATCCGTTTATCGTAGAAGACGGGACCCACACACAGCGAATTGAATCGCAATGGAGGGTTGTGAAACGCTTCTTTTCTACGCGAAATTACAATCACACCGGTAATTTCGCTGATGTGGTGGTCGAGTACCTGTGGAGGCGTAATATTAAAAGGCCGAAAAGGACATGTTTTTGGCATTAATGGATGCCATTAATTATGTCTATTGTAACGTAGCTTCGCCTACGCTACAATAACATACTCGACATCACCCTAGCATACGCCTTACAACTGCACTTAAGTACAAATATATAAACATACGTACATACATACTGGTAGACGCACACACAAACTAACATACCAACGAGACTAAAAGCACCCCTATGTACATACATACGCATACACGACGCTGGCACGGTAAACACATACAAATTTCGCAAACGCCAACTTGGATAATCATGCGCACCAACATATTTGGGGTGTTCACAGTTCGTTCCAAACTGTGTCTGAAAATGTAGACGTCTACATTTTGAGACTTTTTTAGCATCAAACTGTGAGCACCCCTTTCTAGCAGTCGTCGCAAAATCGTCTCAAAACTTTGCTGGTGTTGCCAGACATTTCTTCCTTGCGTGCATTGTTTATATGTCGCCTTTCCATTTTGTTTCTGAAAAATTGTAATTATTTAACTAATTACCAATTCGTAATATTTGTTATTTCTTTTCCTTGATTTGTTTCTTTTCATCAGAAATTGCGCTCAAATTAAATGCAAATACAGAAAACGTGCCCAATAAATAAAAAAAATGTGATTAGTATTGCCATAATGCAACCCTGCGGCGAGGTTGTAAAATGTAGACGCGTAAAAAACATACCTGTGAGTGTGACAAAATGTAGACGGCGTCCTTTTCCAATTTTGAATGGGAAACAACAACACCACAGATTTTACGGTTAGAAAACGTCTTAAAATGTAGACGTCTACATTTTGAGACACTATTTGGAACGAACTGTGAACACCCCAATTGTTACGATTATCCTTGAAACCTTGAGGGATTTCCCCAAATATCTTGCGGCTCGTATCGCTGGATTGTTAAATAAATGCTAACGATGACCAAATTGTAGTACAATTAACTTTATTGTACAACAAACAATTTACAATAATTGGTAATACAGTAAAAACATTACAATACTTGTTAAAGCAATTACAA